TAGTACAAAACTTCAGTAATCAAAACACTACGGTACTGGCACAAAAATAGACACACAGATCAATGAAACAGAATAGAAAACCCAGAAATGAACCTACAGTTATATGGCCAATTAATCTTCAACAAAGCAGGAAAGAGTAGCCAATGGGAAAAAGACTGTCTCTTCAACAAATGGTATTGGGAAAACTGAACAACAACATGCAAAAGAATGAACCTGGACCATTCTCTTTCACTATACACAAAAATAAACTCAAAATGGATTAAAGACCTAAAATGAGATATGAAACCATAAAAGTCCTTGAAGAAAGCACAGGCAGTAATTTCTTTGACATCAGCCACAGCAACTTTTTTCTAGATAGGTCTCCTGAGGCAAGGGAAACAAAAGCAAAAATGAACTATTGGGACTGTATCAAAATAAAAAGCTCTGCACAGCAAAGGAAACAATCATCAAAACTAAAAGGCAACCTATGGAATGGGAGAAGATATTTGCAAAGGACATATCTGATAAAGGGTTAGTATCCAAACTATACAAAGATCTTATACAATAGCCACCCCAAACCCAAATAATCCAATTAAAACAATGTGCAGAAAACATGAATAGACATTTTTCTAATGAAGATATGCAAGTAGCCAACAGACACATGAAAAGATGCTCGACATCACTCATCATCAGGGAAATGCAAATCAAAACTACAATACCACCTCAAACCTGTCAGAATGGCTAAAACCAGTAACATGAGAACAACAGGTGTTGGTGAGATGTGGTTATTTCTTGCACTGGTGGTGGAAATGCAAACTGGTGCAGACACTGTGGAGAACAGTATGGAGGTTCCTCAACAAGTTAAAACTAGAACTACCCTACGATCTAGTAATTGCACTACTGGGTATTTACCCAAGGAATAATACGAATTCAAAGGGATACGTGCACCCCTATGTTTATAGTAACATTATCTACAATAGCCAAATTATGGAAACGGCCCAATTGTGCATCAACTGATGAATGAAGATGTGGTATATATATATTCTAGGGAATATTATTCAGTCATAAAAGAGAATGAAATCTTGCCATTTGCAACGATGTGGATGGAGCTAGAGAGTATTACGCTAAGCGAAATAAGTGAGTCAGAAAAAGACAAATACCAGATGATTTCACTCATGTGGAATTTAAGAAACAAAAGAGCAAAGGGTAAAAAAAGAGAGGCAAACCAAGAAACAGACTTAACTTTAGAGAACAAACTGATGGTTACCATAAGGGAGGTGGGGGGGAATGGGTTAAATAGGTGATGGGGATTAAGGAGTGCACTTGCTGTGATGGGCACTGGGTGATGAATGGGAAGTGTTGAATCACTATATTGTATACATGAAACTAATATTACACTGTATGTTGACTAACTGGAATTTAAATAAAAACATAAAAAAATAACTGATATAACTTTCCAGGAATAATTCTTAATACATTTACTTGGACATATGACATTATACAGAGGAACAAAATTAACTTTATACTTAGAGATGGTATGATAATATACACAGAAACCTGAGAATCTAATTTTTAAATCTAGCAAGAACAGGTGTGTGGGAGATGACATTCCATTAAAATTATCCATACCTAAATAGAAGTACCATATCATCCAGCAATCCCACTTGTGGGTATATTTTCAAAGGAAACAAAACCATAACTCAAAACATATCTCAAAAAACACATCTCGAAGAGGTATCTGTTTTCCCATGTTTCAATGCAGCTTTACTGATAATAGCCAAGGTATGGAAACAATGTTTAAGTATCTGTCAAAAGATGGATCAAGAAAGGGGCGTCTGGGTGGCTCAGTTGGTTAAGTATCTGCCTTTGGGTCAGTTCATGATCCTGGGGTCCTGGGACTGGGCCCCACATCCAGCTCCTAGTGAGAAGTCTGCTTCTCCATCTCCCCTTTCCCCCCACTTGTGCTCTCTCTCTCTCTCAAATAAATAAAATCTTAAAAAAAGAAAGATGCCTCAAGAAAATGTGGTATATAAATATAACAGAATAGTATTACAGCCTTAAAAAGGAAGGAAAATCCTGTCATTTGCAATAACATGGATGAATGTGGAGGGCATTATGCTAAGTGAAATAAGCCAGACAGAGAAAGACAAGTACTGTTTGGTATCATGTATATACAGGATTTGGGGGGGAAGATATATAAGGTGATGGGTATGTTAATTAACTTGATGGGAGAAATCCTTTCACTATATATATGTATATCAAATCATCACATTGAGCAGTATCTCTTACAATTTTGTCAATTACACTTCAATAAAGCTGAAAAATAAAATAACCCCAACCCAGATTTATGATTAAATTTAACTAAAAAATTTTTAAAGAAACAAAACAAAAAAATCCTACACCTCCATCTCTACGATAGGCCTCCTTTTTGTCTTTCGAACATAAACTCAGTACCACAACGTCATTGTAGTTGGTAACACCTCTTTATTAGAATGATCCAGCAACACACAGGCAGTCCATCAGCCCCAAATGATATTTATCACTGGCTCCTTCTCTCCATTCAGGACTCAGCCCAAATAGCTCTTGCTCAGGGAGGCCTTCCTTAACCACTCCTGTTAAAAAAGTATTCCCTCGGGGCGCCTGGGTGGCTCAGTTGGTTAAGCGACTGCCTTCAGCTCAGGTCATGATCCTGGAGTCCTGGGATCGAGTCCCGCATCGGGCTCCCCGCTCAGCGGGGAGTCTGCTTCTCCCTCTGACCTTTCTCTCTCTCTCAATCTCTCTCTCAAATAAATAAATAAAGTTAAAAAAAAAAAAAGTATTCCCTCACTTTGGTCTTAATTATGGTCTTATTGTTTAATCCTGTGAAGGTAATGTGGCAACAGGGCCCTCAGGGTTTGTAAAGTGATACTAAATTATTTCTACATTTATTAGCAGGAAGACTTTCTATATAAAGAAACTTTCACTGAACTATTTGGTTACCTAGCAGTAGCCACTAACCATATATGACTACTTAAATTTACATTTTAAAATTCCATACTCATAAATAAATATTCATATAAATCAGCTTAAGTATAAAAAGTAACTTTCTACTGCTAGCTAGGGAGGGAGGGAGGCATTTTTGCTTTTCTTAAATTTTTACCTGAAAATGAAAACCCTTGTTATAAGTACTGGAATAGAGATTTTTCAATCTTTTCATATGCTTACAGTGTCATCTTCTGTCATCTAATAATTATATACTCTGCTTGCCATAAATTTTGTTCTTCTCGTTTTGTTTTGTTTAATCTTGACAGGAACTAAAATTTACCAAATGAAGGAATCAATGGAGGGAGGGCCCTGTCCCCACAGTACCTTCACAAGATTAAAAGCTTAACACCAACAGACAACTTCTCATCGGAAACAATGAAAGCCAGAAGACAATGGAATGTAAATTTTAAAGTGATCAAATGAGATAATAAAATAGAATTCCACCACCAGTAAAAACTCTTATTAAAAATAAAGGTGAGAAGGTGCCTGGCTGGCTCAGTAGGTTAAGCATCTGCCTTCAGCTCAGGTCATGATCCCAGGGTCCTGGTTCAGAGTCCCACATCAGGCTCCCTGCTCTGCGGGGAGCCTGCCTCTGCCTCTCTCTCTGTCTCTCATGAATAAATAAATAAAATCTTTTAAAAAATAAAAAAAATAAAAATAAAGGTGAGAATGGGGCGCCTGGGTGGCTCAGTGAGTTAAGCATCCAACTCTTGGTTTTGGCTCAGGTCATGATCTCTGGGTCCTGAGATCGAGCCCCACGTCAGCGTCCACACTAGGCCTGGAGCTTGCTTCAGATTCTCTCTCCCCTCCTCTGGTCCTCCTCTCCTCTCTCTCCCCCTCCTCTCAAAACACTAAATTAAAAAAATAAAAAATAAAAGTGAGAAAACTTCTGCTTCAGCTAGTAACGGACCAGTAATCTCACCAAGAACTAGAAAATTTTAGGGGGAAAAAAACAGAACTTCTCATTTTGAAGGCAGCAGAAAGCTCTGAGGTAATAACAGAAGGAGTGAAGACTCCAAGAACAACTTTGGAGAGGGAGGGGATTTCTGTAGCTGCTTTCACCCTGAGGCCTTCGCTGATTTGGCAAAAATCAGCAGTTGGCAAGAGGCTAGGATTAGCACTGGCAGGTAAAGACTCTGATCCACAAGGTGATGTAATTCTCACATGCATCTTCTCAAGGTGGATAAAATCCCTAGATTAGTAGGGTATCCAAACTTGAGTGTGCATAAATTCTTATTCAGTGGGCACACATGCATGTCGGGGGGGGGGGTCTCAGCAGATGAAGGGCCCAGGAATCTGATGTTAATTTTTTCAAGCACCCCATGATAGCCCTGAAACTAAAGAGACCTTACAAAATAGATGTACAAACGTTAACAGTATTTTTTTCCCCAAAAAGTGGTTATTAAATTTATGTTTCGGGTAAACTCCGATTACTTAATATTTTACTCTCATACCAACTTATAACTGATTTGCCATCCCACGGCCAAAAATAAATGTCTGTGTCATACCTTTTATCACACAACTTAGCAAAATCTTCCACACACAAAAACAAAATGTTCTAAAATTAAACTGAAAAGGTTTTTTTAAGTATAGCAACCTTAAAAGGATTGAGATCAAGAGGTAACTCTAATACACCTTTCAAATGGTGACACGTGGAAGGGATAGTTCAATCGTAAGAAAAAGTAAAACTAACAACAATGCGTTATAACAACTATCTATGAACATTTTGCAAAGAAAGTCATTCCACATCAAGAATAAGAGAAATCTTAAATCATTTAAGGCTGCAGATAGTTCAAGTTTAGAGGCAAAACATATTAAATGAAATTTCCTCATATATAGCAAGTACTGTTTCACTACACAAAATCTTGATCACATTTAATGAGTATAAAATACATGAAGGAGATAATGCCCAGAATCCCATTAAATTTTATGTATGTCTGACTTCACTTACAATGATATGGGTGATCACTTTAAGTAAGGTAAGTTAAAACACTTACCTGGGTTTCATATAAGTGGGCAATGTGAAATTGAACTGCAAAGATGATGGAAAATAAAAATCAATACCAATATAATAGTGTTTGGGGTAAATTAAGTAAGAATATAAAATGTCAAACATAAGCACAATCTACCCTATAGAGATTTAACAATGAGACATAACTTATTTTTAATAAAACAATATACAAGCAAACACACTAAAGAACATGAACATAAGACGCCACATGTGCCACATGTATTCACTGTTGCTCACTATCAAATTTTGTCAGTGTAATTATTAAAATTAACATTAAAATCTATAGCAAGTGAGTATACGCCTTACAAAGTTCAAAACTGCAAGATGAAGCAAATACAGAAAACTCCTATAATCCATGCGTTTCAAAACATGGTATTTAAAAGCTGAGTTCCAAGACAATAAAATATAGTAAAGTCAATATATGATAAAAAAAACATATAAAAACCAAAGAAAGCCTCTAATTCCTTATACCACATTTCATAACAACATTTATAAAGAAGTCATAAAGCAGGATGATGCTGGAAATAACACACAGAGGAAGTGAATTGTTGCATTTCTCTATCGGTTCCTCAGAATTAAGAAAAAAAAAGTCAAAAACCACTTAGAAGATAAGAATAGTAAACAGTCCCAAGATTAACAAATATGTCTTGAAAATCAAGTAAGAATATATTTTAGCTTTTGTTTGCAGCTCTCCCTGATACCAACACCAAAGTATGAATGATCCAACAAAAGCAACAAGGAACCAGGAATCAAAATTGGATTCTAGCTACTTCGATACTATAATTTTCATTCTTCAATGACAACTCTCTTTTTAATGTTCTAACTACCTGGATTTCCTAGCTGGATTTAAGCCTTTCAAATTTATATGCAAAAATGTTGATGTGGATCTTTAAAAACAAGGTCCATAGGACTACTGTCAAGTATTCACTGCTGGATGCAACATGAACTAACTCTCTCACTGATTCCTCTAACTGTAAGATTCACCTGGGAGGCTTGTTAAAAATAGAGATTCCTGGGGCGCCTGGGTGGCTCAGTCGTTATGCGTCTGCTTTGGCTCAGGTCATGATCCCAGGGTCTTGGGATCGAGCCCCATTTTCCCATTTCAGGCTCCTTGCTCCGCGGGAAGCCTGCTTCTCCCTCTCCCACTCCCCCTCCCTGTGCTCCCTCTCTCACTGTCTCTGTCAAATAAATAAATAAAATCTTTAAAAAAAAAAAAAAAGTAGAGATTCCTGAGATTATGATTCAGTGAGCCTGTGGCGTAGCCTGGAAAGCTGCTTTTTTAAATCAGTTCTGCAAGAGATTCTTATACCTGTTCTAGACTAGCATCTGGGAAGAACTAAACTAAATAACCATAAAGAATAAAACAAACAAAATATATGATGAACTTTAAAATCAAACATTTTTAGATCAAAAGTAAAACTACATCTCTCCATAAATAATCGTTAAATATTACATGTTAACTAATCAGGGACGAGGCAAAATAAAAATATCTTTAGAAGATTACAATCAGCTTTTTGTGAAAAACACATAAAAATAACAATAAAAGTTCTACATATATAGATATCCCCTCTGCCTAGATCTGTTGAGGGCTTTTATTTTCCATTCCCCTTTTCCAACACAGCCCTCCCTTGACATACCATTTCCAAATCTTACCTCACTACATCAATGGAAGGAGACTGGGTTACAGATTAAGAGAATGAGAAAGAGATGGAAAATCTATGCTCATTTCCCCCGATCTACTTACTTCTCTAATAAAGGTGAGAAAGAAGAACAGCAACTAGCTAGCATCCTACCACCACCCCAAACTTCCTCCAAGCTCAGTCCCTAGGCCCTCCCTCCGTCCAGGGCTTTCCTATGCAATGAATTACTAAATACAGTGTCATCTTTTGTAGTGTGAAAATTATCACATATTTAAATTCTTAGAAGTCCTCTTCAAGAGGAACATAACCATACAACTAAGAAAAAGCTCCACTTGGCTAAGTCTCAATTAAAGTGGAAATTTTGAACAAATACTGCTATAAAAGGTTCTGAAATTAAACTTTATTCAGAAACTATACATTATTTTTAGAATTAAAAGAATTAATTAAATCTACAGGAAACAATTTTATCACAAGGGCCATCATATAATGAAGCCTCACATCACCACGATCCTACTTTTAAAACACCAACTGTAACTAATCCCTCTTAAAAAGCTCTAGAAGCAATAAGTGTATCTACTTACTTTTTAATTGCATAAATGAATTGTGCCATAAGAGAAATATCTCATACAGATTTTAAAAGCTTACTTTCCTTTCTATAATCTTCTGATCTTTGTAGTATCACAAAGTAATATGTAAGATTTGAAAGAATAGTCAAGGTCTGTGGCATACACAAATAGGTGATGACGTTAAAAATTCAAAGAGAAATAAGCTTTGCAAAGATAATAAGAGCCTGGTACTTAAATTGTAAAAATGTCTGGCTCAAAGTAGGTAGTCTACATTTGTTAATGCTCTGTGAGACATTAGCCATTACCGTGGTTATCATGTAATCGTGCAGACAGCCTAAGATAAACTACCCAAATCAACTGAACTATAATGGCCTAATGTCTCTAAATGAAGCATGTTCCCTTCCATCACAGTAACCAGCCTTGTAGCACAGAAAGTCCTGAGTCCAGGCAAACTCCTCAGTCCTGGGCAAAACAGGATGTTGGTCACACTCCCTCCTATTTCCTTTCTCAACAACCAACAGAGACATAGTAAACTTGAAGATGTATTCATTATGGTTCAAATCATCCTCTTCACGTTCAACAGGAAGTTTCCTGCCCAATGGTGCTCATTCTACGGATGTGGGTGTTTTCCTCTCAAGCAAGAGCAATGACGTACAACTGAGATTTAACCTCAACAGGGTAGAATAAAATGAGGATTTACCAAAATATTCAGTTTGACATTTATGAAACATCCCTCAGAAGTTATCATTCAAACTGACATATTAGTTATGAGAGTTTGCTTTAAGGTACTAGATATAATCAATCAAATGAAAAGGAGCTGTTTTCTTATTCCTGTATAATTAGGAAAAAGTATAAATTAAGATTTTAATAAAAGTGTATCAATGAGGGCGCCTGGGTGGCTCAGTTGGTTAAGCGACTGCCTTTGGCTCAGGTCATGATCCTGGAGTCCCGGGATCGAGTCCCGCATCGGGCTCCCTGCTCAGCGGGGAGTCTGCTTCTCCCTCTGACCCTCTTCCCTCTCATGCTATCTCTCATTCTCTCTCTCTCTCTCTCAAATAAATAAATAAAATCTTAAAAAAAAAAGTTTAAAAAAAAGTGTATCAATGAGTTAAATTTTGTCTAATCTAACCTCATCTTAGAAACTAAAATACTGGGGCACTTGTTACCTTCCCACCATTTATTCTGCAAATACACTGATCAGTTTCATTTAAAGAAAATAGAGATCTTTTATGTTTTCTCAGGAAATTGCCTCTAGTAGCAATATGAGATAATTGGTCCGGTTTAGATGATGATTTAATCCACACCATGTCATAATTCATGTAATAGCAAGTTACATCCTAATTTCTATAACCTTTTCCATCATATAACAAATTCCATCATTTTCTTAGGCATTTTTAACACTGACGCTATTTTCACTTAACGCCATTCTCTAGAGTTAAAGCATGAGTCACTTAGAGCAAAATACTTTCTCAAACCTAGAATCCTTTGACCTGAAATTTTCATTAAGAATGATTCAACTTTTTACACATATTTTTCAAGAAAGAAAGTTTTAAAGAAATCCAGCTTGAACCCAATGAATATCCTTAAAACTTTTATTGGCTACTATTACACTAAATATGCCAACACTCACTTATTGATAAACACATCATAAACCAATCTGCTTTTGGAAAGAAACATACACAGAAGCAGAAAATAACTGTCTGAAAAAAAAAAAACTGTAGCAGAACTATTTCTCACACATTCTTTTTTAATTAATTGAAAAATGTCACTTCAAACTTTATATATGATATGTAAAAGTAGAATAAAATGTTTTCATAATTATCAATAACTTTAATACCACACAGCAGGAATCAGTGAGCTATCACTTAAGAATCTTTGTATACGCATTTTTCCCTAAAAGACTGGCAAATCCTGCTTTTAATCCCCCAAGTCATCTACAATATAATTATTGCAGTCAATCTTGTTCATTAGTGCAGACAATTTTAATTCAACAACCCAGTTCACTGGCATATCTATTTTAGACACAGGCTGTTCACAATAACTGGTCTCACATGTTCCATTTGTACAAGTAGCCATGGCAACCAATACAGTTAGATCCAACAATTCCAAAAGAAAAATTACACAGGACTTTCACTATCATCATCATCATCATCATCACTACTATTATTTGCCATGAGGTGATCTGAATACATGTAGAAAACTATTACTTAAAAATACTTACTTTCAGCATTGGACAAAGTGCAGGGATTGCAGTCAACCAAAGCTAACTGAAAATGCTGCAAGAAAAGAATGAGAAAATCAGTGCACTAAATTCAGTCACATAAATGTGTCTTAATTTTCAGGTACATAAAGTCTAACATAATCATGAAACTACGCTATGCAAATAAAACATACCAGACAACCAACTAGAATTACTTTGTACATTTATTGCTGATAACAGGCTGTTGGGTTACTTTCTTGAGACAGTTGAGAATGGACTATTAACTTTATCAAGTTATCCTACGTATAATTTTGTTCATATGAAAAAAGCTTCAGAAAAAGTCTTCAAGTAAACAGTATGAGTTATAGAGTAGTTTAATAGTTTAATCATGGGGCGCCTGGGTGGCTCAGTTAAGTGTCTGCCTCTGGCTCAGGTCATGATCCCAGGGTCCTGGGTAAAGCCCTGCATCCGGCTCCCTGCTCTGCGGGAAGCCTGCTTCTCCCTCTCCCACTCCCCCCGCTTGTGCTCCCTCTCTCGTTGTGTCTCTCTCTGTCAAATAAATAAATAAAATCTTAAAAAAAAAAATTTTAAAAATAGTTTAATCATTACTTTAAAAACAAAGTAAAAGTTCAATGGTATTAATGTCAGAATACCACTGCTTATCTCAAATGAGACATGAACTTTAGAAACAAACGAAATACTATGACAATAAAGGGTAAACCTATCTGCCCTTACTGATTCTTCAATAATCATTGTATTTGGTGTCTTTTTTTCTTAAGATTTTATTTATTTGTGAGAGAGAGAGAGAGAACAAGCAGGGGGAGGGAGAGGGAGAAGGAGAAGCAAACTCCCTGCTGAGCAGGGAGCCCGACACAGGTCTTGATCCCAGGACCCTGAGATCATGACCTGAGCCGAAGGCAGATGCTTAACCAACTAAGCCACCTAGGTGCCCCTGTATTTGGTGCCTTTTAAAACTATGAAATACTACCAAGAATGCATCAAATAGCCTGTGTTGAAATTCATCTATGAAATATAATTATCTTTTTAGAATGCATGTACTATTATATGTGTAGGCAATATTCAACCACTAATAGTTTATAATATCCATGTATAATAACATCATATCATCCTGCCTGAAAAATACATGTTAAAATTCAATGAATAACACTAATTTCTAAGAACACAAATCACGATCAAGAACACTGGGTAACATTTGACATCCATCTACTTTATCAACATTAAACCTGGTATATAAACTAAGAAGAAAACAAGTACTAGAGTTGGTATAAAATCCTTAGTATAAAAAAAGTAAATCTCTCTGAACTCTTCTAAAAAATATTTCCATATATGTACATTCAGATTTTCTGAGTCCCTACAAGATTTTATCATTAAAAGTAATCAACAGCCAGAGTATAAACCCTTTTTTTAAAAATTGAAAATAAGTTTGTTCCTATCCACAATTCAAATATCTAAATAGTTGTATTTTTTATAACTACTGGACAAACTGAAAATTGACATGCATAATGACAACTAGATATAAACTCAAAAAGACTTTTTTATCAAGAGAAATAATCATTAGCAAGCTTTCAGTACTGTATTTCAATACAGAATGAACAAAACTGCACTTGGTCAACTAGAACCTTCAATTAACAAAAATAAACTAATGTCAGCTACCCAGTGTTACACTGAAAGAAAGATTAGAAGGCATCGTTTGGCATGAACATGGTAGCTATCATATTCCTTCATGAATGTCTGTAATGCGCAAGCATAATGAGGCAAGCCTACATTTGCAGTACTCTTTAAAATGTAAGGGCTGTAATATTCTGAATGGGCAAACCACTAACAAAATGACTATGACCCTTAAATATTAAATATTTAATCCATTCAAAAAATGTTTGTCAAGTATCTATAATGCCCTTAAAACAATGCAGGCACTAGGAATACAACGGTCAATGAAACAAAAGTGAAAGTTATTTGTCATGGCTGACTAAGTGAAAAAAAAAAATCCAACATCTGAACACTTTAAGAACTGGAACTGCTTTTATTAAAAGGAAACAAAACAAAACAACAAAGAACTGCCTTTATTCTCCCCAGGCCTTCTAAGCAGACTGGATATACAACTCAAACATCCCTTTAGTGTGCTACCACAGCAACAGAAACCAGACTATTTGTATACCTGAACCTAACATAACATTGTATGTCAACTATACCTCAATAAAGAAAATAAAAAGTGAGCACTATGAAAGAAAAGCGTGCTTTATAACCACTTGTCTTCCTGTGGACAAAAAGAGCAGCGCAGTAGCCACATATCCCGATTGTACGACATTTCTGAGTCTCATCTATCCTGTCGGCATATGTAGAGAAGAGAAGACAGACGTTTCCTAACTGAGCCATCAAAGGATACAAACTGACCTGCAAATAAAGTCTTCAAGATGACAGTATTTTAATTTTACTATTACAATGATGTCTCTCTCACAAAGAGCAGAGAGATGCATAATTCGAATTGCCTAGACTACATTTCATCTATCAATATGCAAGGTCCTGCAATGAAACCTGGCAGAAGCAATTCTGGACCATGTTTTATATAAGTATTAATCAATCTTAAAAGCACCAACGAAGTCACTGATGTTATCATTTCAAATCCACAACATCATGAAATATTAAACATTTCCAAACAGCAACAATATAGAAAAATTACTTGGCAACAAAGTACATATTCAAAAACATGCATGTGAGAATGAAGGAACTTAGAGAATAATTACTAAGTATAAGAAACTAAGAAAAGCCACATAAAACTACCCCATATAAAGAAAAACAAGGATATGCTTCCCAGTAAACTGAAGGGAGATGAGGGACTGGGGTGGGGATGACATGACCTCAGAGTTTCATTTCTCATATCTAAACCAGATGCAAAATAGATGTACCTATTAACATATAAGCCAGCAGAAATGACTATCAATTATAATAATCAGCCCCCAGGATCTGAAAATACCATGGTAAAATATCCAGCACCCATCCCTGCAACCAACAGAAGCAGCTAGGAAACATCTGTGCCTCACATGGAAATACTGCAGTACTGAAACTGACTATTGCTGTGTGAAATAGTTACTACTGGTAGAGGCTTCTGCCCTTCAAAGACTACATACAAACCTGAAGGCAGAAAGCATTCTATAGAAAATTAATTTCCAAGCAAGATTTACCTAACACATTTTTTTAATGTTACGGTGGTTTTCTTTTATAGAGCACTTCTGGTCCAATTTGACAAAAAGGATCTATTCATAACAATTTCTGTTGACATCTTTATTACCAAAGTCACCTTTTGTTTTAAAAGCTTTTATTTCACAATAACTTCATAGCATTTTGCCTTATATAGATTAAGGAACTTGATTTCTAACTGGAGGAGGAGAATCTGTATTCATGTAATCAACATGTAAAACTCAGGTTTCAAGACTTTCTCTTTAAATTGTTTTACTTCTAGCTGTATAGTCTGTGATTATCTCACAAATCTTTTCAATTGTAGAACCCTTCAACTATATTCCAATCCTGAAGACAAGCAGTGATATAACTTTTTGGGGGGGTAATTAACAAATTATTTGTGTGTGCATAAGTTATTAAAATTTAGAGCAATGTTTGGATTCCAGATCCAATCTTGGATGTTCTTAATCAGTGGGTTGGAGCTGACATCCTGTAAGCCAGAAAAAAAGGTTCTACAAGTGTCCAATGCACAATCAGGGGTAAATGCCACTATTTTAGTTTTTAAATTGTGTCCTTGCCCCCAAAAACTCTACTTCAGACTATTTAGACAAGGTGTGTGTAGTCGATACTGTTGTCTCTGTTCAATTAGTGTAGACACAGCCTTCAGGAATAAAATGTTGGCAACACCAGGCACTGTGCTATGGCTATGCATCTACGAAACTGAATGCACGGCTCCCTGAAATGAATGTTCTGTTAGAAGTTTAAAAGACAATTCCCTAACGGAATCCAAAAGATGTAGATGAGGGGAAAAAGAAAAGAAGTAGTACTTCACGCTGAGGAAACAACTTAAGTCATTTTTACACAGCCCTTATGAAAGAGGGCTTTATGGACCATTTTAAGTGAGAAGAGGGAAGATAAGTCATGTACTCTTCCAAGTCAAGTGATTTTTTCTTTTTCATTGTTACAGATTCCACAATTCTAAAAGTAGGAATTAAAACCAACAACTTCATTCCTAAACCTAATAGTCTATGATAAATGGATGAGACTAGGGAAAGGTCCAGGGATGTGATGGTACTTCGGGGATTTGGTCTCTGAAAATGAGAATACAGAACTGAAAGTGGAAAGTTCTAGTAGGGCTTATGTGTCACACTGCTGGATAAGCTGATGTGACTGAGGTTCTTTCAAAGCCCTCAAACTCAAGTTCTTCTGATTCTCTGTAACACAAGGTTATTACACCTGTTTTGAGGAGAAACTCTACTGCACACCAGTAACTAACAGCTAATGGATCCTGGCAATCTTCACTCAAAAAAGAAGTTTCCAATCTGGAGTTCTCCAAAAGTATCCTTAACAAAAAAGTAAAAGAAAAGACACTATATACTGAAGATGTTCAAAATCTTACTTCTTTTCACAGCCCTTCTTTATGGCTCCAGACTTCTGTCTGTCTATACCAACATCTGATATCCCTCGGGTACTTCCACTCAGTATACTCCCAAAGGACTCACTGCCACTCAGAGCCTTTCCACCTACTTTAGTTTAAAAAAAAAAAATGAATTAAGCCAATAAATGAAGAATCTATTTCCACACTGAATCAGTTAATAAATTAACTCAAGATTTATTTTTTTTATTTTTATTTTTTTAAAGATTTTATTTATTTATTTGACAGAGAGAGACACAGTGAGAGAGGGAACACAAGCAGGGGGAGTGGGAGAGGGAGAAGCAGGCTTCCCGCTGAGCAGGGAGCCCGATGTGGGACTCAATCCCAGGACCCTGGGATCATGACCTGAGCTGAAGGCAGACGCTTAACGACTAAGCCACCCAGGTGCCCACTCCTTAAGATTTATAGAATGTATTACCTCTCATCCATCCATCCACTGAGAACCCATTTATCCCACGGGTCTTGCTCATCTTTTTTCCTGTAACAGTGTCCTACCTAGTCTCCCAACTCATTTCTATTGTACTTTACGAAAGTACAGGTATACAACGGACTAGAAATTTTAAAACGCTGGTTCTAATATGCCAAATTATGAAGGAACTTATATTGGTATCCAGCCAATTACTGACAGGTCCCCATTAAAAAGCCACACTCTTTACCTTTAAAATCCAAAAAAAGTTCCAATGTTGACATAGTCTAGGGAAACTTAAAATATGTAAATATTAGGGAGAATTTCTACATAATCTTCATTAAATTAAATAGATGCACTGGCATTAACTGACTGAAGAATATGGGTGTTATTACATCTTATTTTGCATTTCCTTCCTTCCATGAAGGAAATAATTAAGTCTGCCAGGATGTGAAAATTAGAGGCATTATATAAAACTATCAAAATTAGTGTACTTTTTGAAGTAATGATCATACACTGCCTCAAATATATAACAAATGTAAGCAACCATCATTAACACCATTAAAAAGTAATGAAATAAAATTCCAAATTAATTATATGGTGTTAAAGAGGCAACCAAACCCCCCTGGGGGGGGGGGGATATCATCTGAAGCAGGGAAGAAAAACAACAAATACCATGTAGAAATGTCACCCTGGAATGGACCCTGGTTCAGATAATATTAAACTAGTTAATAAATTAAGAATTGATACCCCCACCACTCACTAAACACATGAAATCTCTATTGACCAATTTAATGGAAAAGTAAAACCGTATCATTGAAAAGTAAGCTGGGCATTAACTTCACATTTCTGACGATGGGCAGAGTAGCAAAAATACAAGTATTAAATTCTAGGATGGGAAAATGGATTTCACAAACAGTATCTACACTGGTCCCAAACTGAGGAGTTTTAGATATAGTAGACAAACTGAGAACTAAGAAAGGGGGCTAAAAAAACTTGTCAGATTCTTCCATATATCTATATCTATATATATCTGTGTATGTATATAAATTTAACCTTTACAACAATCTTGTAGAGTGCGGACAGTTACTCCAGTACTATAGACACAAGAGGATCAGAAGAGTTAAGCAACTTGCCCAAGGTCACACAATTAGTCATATGGCAGGGTCAAATTTTAAAACCAAATTTGCTTGCTCTGAGAGCTGTTTACATAGTACCAAAACAGAATAATCTGTTTCAGAGATACATTTTGGTAAAAAAGTTATTACCAGGGATACAAATAAAACAGGAGGCCCTGGAATCCACTTCATGTGTAGGTGAAAATAAGAAATCTATTATGAAAATAAACTGCATTTTATCATCGAAAACCTGTAGATGCTATATCCCTCTTCAAGCATAGGGAAAGAAAATGAGGTGAAGACCTGATCTATAGTGGATGGATTGCCCACACCACCCCACACCAAAATGCTATTTTTTTACCCACCCCTCACTCCTCCACCAGACAAGAACAGTGTATTTAGGGAACTGAGCCCTGCTCCAAAACTGGGCCTAATTGGTCTAAGAGCAACCAAATCTTTGATAAGGAATCAATTGAGAATGGCCAGTGGCTCATTTCTGGCCAATGAGATGCAAAGAGAAGTATTCTTGAAGAGATCAACAGGAAGTCAGGATCTTTCTCCTTTATGACATGACGACTGGATATTTACTGAGCACTTATCATGTGCTAGCACTATACTAAGCACCTATACCACTACTCTAAAATATTTCTATATGAGACATGAAAAATGAATCATCTCACTTTGATTGTACCCTGCAATTTCACTGAATTCATTTATTACTTCTAATAGTTTTTTGGTGGGGTTTTAGGGTTTTCTACATTTCACTTTGATTGTACCTCACAACCAGCCTTAAGAATAAGCCAACACAGAACAAAGAAGAAAATGAATCCTTGATGAAACCTTGGATCAGCTGAATCAACCAATCCGGAAGGCTATACTTCACATGTATTATACAAGCTACTTTTTTTTAATTGTTATTTTAATCAGCTTCAGTTGGGAGTTTCTGAAGTTTCTGATTATCTATACCAAGAAATGTGCTTCTAGGAAACAGCTTCAGTAGTTGAAAAGTCAGAGGTTCCCCATCTATCCATATGAAACTAAAGTACTAGCCAGTCCACTTTAGGAAAATTGGAGGCCACGTAAGGGGAGAGGGACATATCACTCCTTCTGATTCCTACCTTCATTTGCAATACCTCCTCCTTGACTAAAAATGATGATGCCTAAAATTCTGCTTTTGAAAACAGACAAGGAGTAATGGAGAGAGAAGCCTAAAAAAAAGCCGATGTCAAAATGAGATAAAAATCAAAGGCAACCTTCCTGTTATGGGGAAGAGAAATAGCAAGGACTCCTAAAATTCTTTTCTCTGTTCACACAAATGAAATAAACATCAGGATGATTATCAAGTATTTTAACAAGAAGACTGTACTTAAAACAATTTTTATTTTTTTAAAGAGTTTTTTGCTAACATTGCTATGACTTGAAGGTTTGTTAGCCTTTATGCCTGAACAAACAAAAGTTGTACACAGGAAGTCTCTAATGAACTTGAGTAAGCAGGAACACTTTCAATTCACCATGGAACACTGTCCAACACTGTTTCCCCTGATTATAAAGGATTTTAAGTACTGCCACCTTCATAGAAACAGAGCTCTGCATCCACAGAATTATGTAAGACACCACTATACTAATGTTCAGAGACAGCCAAATTCTATAATATGGGACATTATCTGATTATTTTTTCCACTCAAATATATCTCCTGAGCAACATTTACCAAGCTGCTATCAAAAACATGTCTGCCACACATAATAGTTCTATTGTGACAATACTTTAAAATGATCAAATAAGTTTATTTTCTATTATTAGACATTTTAAGAATCTTTGTTAGCTTATACTGTGAATGTCCAAGAGGAGGTTAAAATATGCAAGGTGGCATATCTAAACTTATTTTCCATTTCAAATCCACTCACATCCCGTAGTATACAGTTGACTCTTGAACACAGGTTTAAACTCCATGGGCCCACTTATATATGGGGGTTTTTTTGCATCAATGTATTTTCTCTCTTATGATTTTCTTAATAACATTTCCTTTTCTCTAGCTTACTTCATTGTAATACAGTACATGATACATATGTATAAACTATGTGTTAAGCAATTCTAGGTTATAGGTGAGGCTTCCAATCAACAGTAGGTTATTAGTAGTTACATTGTTGTTTTAAGTCCTTACATACAGATTTTCAAATGGGGGGAGGGGGTTGGTGCCCATAACCCCCACATTGTTCAAGGGTCAATTATCTGAGAAGTGCTGCTCTATATTTGAGGAAATCTGGCAATTTCCAGGCATCCTTTACTCTCCACACTACCTAATTTTACCTTGGCACCAATTCCTCAAACTGCACTTACCTTTGACAACTGTGTAAACAAAATACTTCACATACTTGTTTTAGTGTTTTTGGTTGTATATCACTCTTTCATATCATCAGCATTGTTCTTTATAAACTCGTGAAAGATAGAAACAGTAGTTGTATAATTGTCTATTTTAAAACTCTAGAACAATTAAATACAGTTTTTAAAAAAACCTTCAGCAGTACCTTATTAGTAAATTCAAATTACAACCTACTGTAAAGTCTCTTTATCATTCTTTATCTCCCTCCCCGCCCTTCAGGATCAAGATAACCTGCAACGGAAATATTTAGAACATGGCAACCATTATACTCTTAAATTCACAAGAACTTGAACTTTTTCCTAAAACTTCTAATACTTCAAAAAGCAATGCTTTTGTTGCACAGGAAAGCACTATTTTCATGAAAAGCCCAGTAAGACCTAAAGTGATGGCATAAACAGCACAAGAAACTCAATAAAAAAAATTGAGAAATATCAAATTTCCATAGTAAGTGAAATATTTAACCAACAATATATTTTCTTTTTCTAACAATGTTTATATTCACAAACCAGGATTCAAATGACTTGCAGAGAATACTTTTTTAAAAATTTAGATATGAGATGTGCCCTGCTGGTAGAGGTCGACAGATTTCTAGTGAGATCCATGCAAATAAATAGGCCAGGATAGGATCACAGACACAGCACCATTAAGCAGCTGGACCTGACCTCTATGCTGGCCAATCACTTATAGTGGACTGATTTAGATGTCCAAACTGAGACTGAAACCTTCAACTTTTCCTGATGATAGACTTCAATTAAAACTTAAAAAAAAAGTTTAATGGTATCATCAGTTACCTATGTCTTAGGATAATTACTTTGTACCCTGAAACCCAACCTTGTGTATCTTCCAGTTCATAGCTGATAAAACAGTTCTTTCGCCTAAATTTTCAAATTTTCTTTTGAAGTGCCAATATAAATTCCAACATTTCTCAATGCTCTAATATTTAACAACAACCCATCCCCCCAAAAATGCACAAAATGAAACATTGTATCTTGGAAAAAACCCAATAACCTACCTTTAAACTAGACTCATAGTCTGTATTCACTTTGAACATAAGCCCAAGTCGTAAATGAATTTCCTTGGCTCGACAAAAGCTGGGATCAACATAAAGCACCTCCTGAAATGCTTTAATTGCCCTGAAAGAATATAGACATAAGATATCTTAACTTTTTAACACTTGCATGAATTTTTGCTTGGTAGCACAGTAAAACTTCTGCTTTATGCAATATGGTTTTAAAGAAAATGTGTTACGTGAAATGTATTGTTTAAAAAAAAAAAAAAGACTGGGAAGTGGCACCCGGGTCTTTTATATAACTGAATGTATATCATCTAATACAAAAGGGGAAAAGGAAGATCAGACGAATGTATAATCAACTGTTCAAGTAACATTTTATGGCTTAAAATTCTCAGTTTAAAATAACTGATTTCATTGTTTCTGGAATTTCCTAGGGGAAAGAGGGGAGGGGCAGATAGTTTTGTTTTTTAAAGAGGAGAGATTAATCCTGTTTCTAGTCTATTCTGTAAGAATAAGTCATTTAAAACTTTGTCTTTCATGTTTAGATTTACAATTCATATGTACCTTATTTTTCATATGGTGTGAAGTCAGATTTCATTTTTTCCATACAGATATCCACCAGCCCCTGCATCATTTGTAGTAAAGCCCATTCTTAGCACAGCTCTGCAGTGCCACTTTGTCCTAAATCAAATGTCCATTATTTATGTAGGTCTGTTTCTGGGTTCTCTATCATCTATCACTTTCCACTGGTCTATCAGTCTATTTTTGCCCCAAATTCACAATTTAACTTTTATAAATGGTCTTGATTACCAGTAGAGCAAATAACAAGCATAAGGAAAGAACACTTTTCACTGAATACACTTTTATACACCTTAATTTGATCATGTAAATATACTACCTACAAAAAATAAATTAAAATCATGACAAGGAAAAATGTCTACTTTGAATTTTGAAAATTGTAACAGCAGATACAGTATGTTGTCATTTTAAATCTCTCTACAGTATTTACTTAAGATTTATCCCAAGTACCAGCTAATATATTCTTTGCAAAGCTTTTCACCAACTATTCTCTGCCTCTACTTATCTTAAAGGTGGTTATTTAGAAATCTCAGAGGATTCCAAAAGAAAAGTCCATCTTTTATATAAAAAGTTCAAAATATCATACCACAAAACAGAGCACAATACCGCCTATGTCTTTTAAGTAACTTTATTTTGATTCATGCATTATCTATATCCCAGAAAAATTGTGTGGGGCTATGTATATGGTTATTATAAAATTAAGGGTTCTAAAGGGTAATGTTGAGGCAGGGGCAATAGGTCTGGCATCAGATACTTTTATACCTGGTAAAATACTTACTTCCTGAAGAGGAGGCTGGGATCTATGTGTGAGATGGCTTTTTAAATGGGTGGGTGTATATGTGTTTTATTATCTGATGTGTACAGGCAGAGGAGGGGAGTCAAAGACCTGACAGAAAAGAATTGGTCTAAATTACCATTCTCATTCAAAGGCAGCTTTCTATTTCTCTCAGACTTCAAGATACTTATCTGCATGTTATTAAGACATTATCTCTGTACTATTCTCAAAGCTTTCTAATAGGAGGAGGTACAGTTCAGCCTTTACTATTTTCCTGGTCATGACTAGTGCTACCACCTTCTAATAAAACAGGCAACTGTTGGGGGGTGGGGGTCAGCATATAAAAGGTTAGGAAGAGAATAACTGCAGCTGTAAATGAGGCCAATTAAAACATGATACAATTGGGAAAGGGTATGCAGGAGTTTGGGGGAAGCTTTTGGGCTAATAGCAATATTTTATTTCTTGACCCAAATGATGGTTATGAATGTTTATTTCATAAATAACATGTTAAGATGTATACTTCTGTTTATACATTTTTAAGAATGTTATATTTTATAATAAAAATTGAGGGTAATGCTTCATAAAATCCTAATGAACCTTAACTTACGAGATGGGTCAGACAATTCTCTTGTGGAATGGTCAGAACTAAGCAATGTCCACACGTGCCAATAAAAAACCCAGGCAGGCCTGAGTCAAAGGTATGAAAGAAAAAGAAAGGAAGTGGAAGACAGCAAAGAAAAGAAATAAAGGAGAAAAAAAGAAGAAAGAAAAACTAAGGAAAGGTATGTGAGAAAAGCAGTAAGGAGAACACAGAGCATCAGCAGCAAGCCCTCAGGAGAAATTATTCCCTACTCGGTCTTACTTTCTATTTCTGGCCTTTCCTCTGAACCCCTAAAATTGTAGAGGTGTTTTACTCCATAGGTGCCTTTCGTGCAGACATCTTATCCACTTAGTTCACAATGTCACATAAATGCAAAGAAACACAGGCTTATTTTAACAAGTTTTCTGTGTATGTTAACACACTAGAAATTAAAAAAAAAAAAAAACCATTAACCTATAAACAAAAACACATATTCCAACATACTAGTCTGGGCTACCCTATGTTTATTCTTTAAGGACTATTAAAAGTGTCCATGAGGGGCACCTAGGTGGCGCAGTTGGTTAAACAGCCAACTCTTGATTTTTGGCTCAGTTTGTGATCTCAGGGTTGTGAGATCGAGCCCCGTATCAGGCTGCACTCAGCTCGGAGTCTGCTTAAGACTCTCTCTTCTTGGGACGACTGGGTGGCTCAGTCGGTTAAGTGTCTGCCTTCAGCTCGGGTCTTGATCCCAGGGTCCTGGAATTGAGTCCCACATTGGGCTCTATGCTCAGCGGGAAGCCTGCTTCTCCCTCTGCCTGCAGCTCCCCTGGCTTGTGCTTGCTCTCTCTCTCTCTGACAAATATATAAAATTGTTTAAAAAAAAAAAAAGACTCTTTCTTCTCCCTCTCCCTCTGCCACCTCCCCCGCCACAGCTCACTCTCTCTCTCAAATAAATAAATTTTTAAAAAATAAATAAATAAAAAGTGCCCATGAGATGGTATGGCCAATATATATCGAATCATCAAGTTCTTGTTGTTTCAAAGTTTTCCTCAAATTCAATACCTTGCAGACCAAATCTTCAATATCTCATTACTAGATTACTGAAATAGATATGCTCTTTAAGGACACCCTCACTCTGCTCTGGCTTACCCTATGTTTCCTCAACCATGTGCCTCCTGTCATTGCCTACTAACCATGATACTCTAAGTCAAATCTCCATGTAGCATTTAAGGTCTGTGAGCAGAACCTAGTACCTATTCAACTCTATTCCCAGTTATGACCCAACACTGTTCTTCCTCAGCTATGACCTGGCTTATTTCGGGAATTTCTTTATGCAAATACTGGCCCTCTTGACTTCACTGCTTCTCCTCAGGATGGTCTCCCAATCTGAAATACTTTTATTCTTCTATTTCACCCTAAATCCACTGTTACCTAAAAGACTGACCACCCAAACTCAATACCAACTACGCTTTGCTTAGTGTTAACCAGCAGTTAGGTCCACTTTATAATCAAATCATTTTATTCTCTGTGTAGTGGTATACTACTCTCCAGTTTTTCCAAGTGGCCTATTCTTTGAGGTCCACACTCCTATCTTTAATGGTCTAAATAATACAGAAAACGGTTAGATTTAATAGATGTTTACTAATGCCATCACTTTTAATAGTTGGCTGACTGGGCTTCTCGTGGGGGCAGGAGACAGCAATGCTCCACGGTCTATTTACTGAGCTCCTCTCATCTAACAAAATATATTTAGGTTCATTTTCATTTCCTTTTCTAAGCTTTTTACCCATCTTCCCTGTGTGCTTCCTCAGTTTTTCCCCACCTTAGGGGGAAAAAGGGAAAAGGGGTGTGTGTGTGTGTGTGTATAACAGAGGTGTGTGTGTGTGTGTGTGTGTAACAGAGGAGTGTGTGGAGAAAATAGGTTATCATTCAGACTACATTCTAATTTTGGTCATCATTTTACCACATTCTTATCTCACCAAACTGTATGTAGCCAGAGCATGATCTCTGCACCACAAACTAGACTAAAAACACCAACACATATAAATTCTGCTGACCTCAGTATTCTGATGACAGAATTTCAGAACATGAGAAATGGCTACCCAAAACTATAAAATATTTTCATGATACAATGCCTGGAAAGGTTTATACTTATATTCTCTAGCAATAATTTCGGTGATATAAAACACTACATCTTTTAGATTTTGAGAAAAAATGCCAATGATAATTATGCACAGCAATATGCACTTTTTGTTTTTACAAAGTCATTAAAAAGAAAAAGCTTCCTCAGGACTTTACCAAACTATAGTAAAAATAATATTAACTAAATGACCCTAGCACAGTTTTAGTACATTTGGAAAGAGACATAATAAAACTTTTAACTTTTCTAAGGCTAATAAAGCTGAGTCTGGAGATACCCCTCAAGGATATCTGAAGGAATAAATGGTCTAATACCACAAAATTTCATACTAATAAAAGGGCAAATATTCTAACTCTAAATCAGTAATAACATGTATACACACAACAGATAAATACTTCCACACACAGATATTATGAAATGTAGAGGTTCCTTTTAAATGAGACAAATGAAAGATTTGATGAATCAAAGAGACAGGCAAGGCAGGATTTTTAAAGGTGGAGATGGTAAGAGAAAGCAGACCAAACACAGTAAACGGCACAAAGTTACATAGGCAAAAAAATGCTCAATACGTTTCCAGGGAAATGTTAATATAATGTGACTGACACAAAGAATATATTTAGGGGAACAGTAGGCAAGAAGGACCATCTGAGGCCGAACCAGAGAGGACCTTAAATGTGAGGCTAAGTTAGAAATATCACACAAGAGTTCTTCACATTGTCATTTGCTAATGTGTTCCTTCATGGCTTTTTTTGCTCTTTAGCCAGTCTTCATTTCATCACCCCAGATAGTGGGAGACATTTTTTCCTTCCCCTCCTGCAAAGGTTTATGTTTTTATCCATAATTTTCCTGAAGCTTAATTAGTCCAAGCCCTTCCAAATTCTCTCTGGCAATCTATGTGTCATTGGTAAGCATAACTTTACCAGAACTGCCTTAGTTAAATGCTAGTTTTGTCAAAACAGAAATGTACATAATACATAACACATGTTAACATAAACTGTTTCATTTTAATGGAACTATACTTAAGCTTTTCATCTAAGAGCATTACTTTGTATTATGATAGCTCAAAAACATTTATTAAGTTTTTGCCAGACTCCATGCTAGACAAGCTTCAGGATCAATGGTAGTATTACGAAGACATTAGGCTCATTTGCACCCGAAGTGGTCACCACAATGGAGAACAGATATTCCTACACTTTTAAGAACACTTGTGATTGGTACAGTGCTTAAGGAATTAATCCTAAAAAAAAAAAAAAACTTCACTTGTACTGTGTTAATACTTCTATGTTTCTAATCTCACCTCCACCTCATTCCCCTAACCCTTTTTAGTGTCAACAATAATCACTATATTTCCTTATCAGGCCTATCAGTTAGATTTGGGAGCTTAATTTCCAAAATCCTATGCTTCTAGCATAGAATTATGTATCTCTTAAATTTGCCACCATAAGATGCTTCTGATATTGATCAATGGGAATACAAAAGGTTGCAGGCTAGAAAGAGAGGATTGACATGAATTTTCAGATGGATATATTTAGAAGTATGGCTATAAGCTATAATAATTTACTACTGTATGTATTTCAATTCCTCTCACCCAAGGACACAGGTTTCTCACTATAAGACAAGAAGAAACTCAGTTCAAGGTACCCCGAGCAATGTGCCCCCTTCAAGGGCAAGAACAAGTGAAGGCATGGGCATGCATTCATGCACCTGTAAAGGAATGGCTGTATGAAGACCGGTTCTAGCTCTCTGATGTTCCTATTTTACTTTGTGCTTCTGTATCTTTCCCTTTCTGGGCATCTTTCTTAACTCTGGTCCCACAATACGGAGTAGAATCAATAGTAAAACTGAATAATCATCATAAGTACAATGAGGATGTTATAGTTGCTCTACTACTTTCTGACATGGGCTCCTCCAAGAAGAGAATGCAACTGAAAACTGGAAAAACTGACCAAATAACAAGTGATCTAGAAGCTAACCCATAAAATCAACGCCAAAAGAAACAATGGACAGACTATAGCAAGAAACAAGGCAAACAAGTTAACAGATAAAACTATACTTAATAAAATTGTTCTCAATAATATTAAGTCACTGTCACCAACCCCAACACACGCTGGTCGCACACATTATCACCAAATACTTACTAACCTAGCAAACGCCAACAGACACCATTACCAAGTATCAAATTTTACTTAAACTACAAATATACTAAAGATAAAACATTCTGAGACATCCTAGGCAGATCCTTAGAGCTGACAATACAAAAAAGGGCATAACACACTCTTCTCTAGAAAAATTTTTTCAACATATCCCGAAATTTCATGTAAATAATTTCAGGGAAAAGAAAAATGCCTGATCCCAGCAATTAACAGCTACTTACAAATAAAACCAAATAAAACACACATAACCTAAGGAAGTTCCTAACACTTAAGGCTGTATTCTGAAACTCACCAAGCAACTACTCCATGCTTTCTAATTCTGCCAGCTGGTCAAGAAATAGCAAGATAAGTTAAAGGATGGGACACAAGAGTTTGTGGGGAAAAAAAAAAAAATCTGACCAGCAAGAGAGAAAACACATAGCTAGGATGGATTCAGACAGGGTGTGAAATATGTCATTTTAGTAAGCAGCTAGAGTTGAAACTTAAGACGTGAGAAAATGGTGGTGACAAGGACAGGATCAACAGACCAGAAGGCACTTGTTAATTCAGACACTGCATTGTCCTTTTATCATTCAGTTTCATTTCTTAGGTCAACTGAAGGATACAGATATCATATACAGATAAGGAATCATATGATATAATGTTCCATAGCTACAAGTCTCCTAAGTTGACATGGTCACGCACTTAATGAAAGTAATCCAATTTTGAACTGATGATGGTTTCACTTCATTACTGATTTTACGTCTCTATCTTCAATCTACAGGGAGCTCACATGTTATCAAAGGTAGGTGAAAAACCGCTGGTGTGTGGTATACATGTCCATTCCTAAACTGTAGAGTTCCTTGCCTCAGGTTTCACATAAATTACTTCTGGCTAGCCATAAAGAGTGTACCAATGTGCCCAGGAGAACAACTGCGAAAACTGATTAAAAAATAACTACCTGTCAATCTTCAAACCTGGGGACAGAGTACAATAGAAAAAACATTAGACTGGGGAATCTGAGCATAACCTCACTTCTGCCACTAAAGAATTACGTAATATTCAGTTACACACACACCCTGCTTTCGTTATCTACAAAACTAAGGGAATAAACTAAGTTCTCTAAGACCACTTCTGGTTCTGAAAGTTTAGAATTGTGTATTCTATGAACAGGATCTTCAAGGAACTAAGACTCTTTTAAAACAGTCCTAATCTATCCTTGGTTTTAAATATGAAGCACTGGACATGAGGTTAGGAGGCTTAAGTTTAGGATTGCTCTACAGTAATGGATAATTTAAGAGAAAAAAATTACAAAGCTTCTTTATATAGATCAATTAAAGTTTTGTAAAGTTTACAAACAAAATGATCTGAATGATTACAATACTCTATATATACACACAGGTATTCTCTAATATGCAGTGCTTCCACAGATGATCAAAACCCAACAGAACCAAAAGCAAAGAGGGAAGAAAAAGCACACAGAAAAAGTCATCCATGTCTACAGTTTCATCTTTAGGGAAACCATACTGAATCACTGCCAATACACATTTAAAAGCTCTGTAATAAATACTCAGGATGCCCAACAGGTACATGACAGGGTTATAACCTTTGGTCAAAACCTTGCTTTGGATTCTCACAGCATTCGCTCAGGTTAAAATTATGGAGAACAGAAGAGACTCTGACAAAATTGGATATGCTTCAAATAAAAAATGTCTGGAAAGGGCTTTATGGTTTACAAAATATACATTATCTCATCTGATCATCAAAACTCTGTGAAGTGTAAAAGGCAAGTGACTACAACGCATTTAAAAGAAAAAAATCACACATACACAAAGGAAAACAGACCTAGGCAGTCTATTTAACTCAAGATCAAATTAAGGGACAGCGCTGAGACCAGAATGCCTATCTTCAAACTCAAATTCTATGTTAATTCCATTGGAGAACATTATTATCTTGTCTCATAAGAAAAGCAACAAGGGGGTAAAGGCCATAACAACAGGGCCCTACACTTTATAGAGTTTATAAGATCTTATATATTCCTATCATATTTAATCTGACTCTGAAGGTATACCATTATTCCTATTTTATAAATCAGAGAATTGAGAGCTTGTAATCTGGTGCCTAGTTACTGGAAATTGGAAAATACTAGCACACACATACATATATATTGGGGTATGTGTCTTGGAGGGGGCGGTAAGCAGCCAATCTTGTCTAAAAGTTTGAAAAGGTAAACATACTGGTCATCAAAGATCATTTACCCACAGACCTTGAGATGTGAGAGCATAGTCATTCTCCAGTTCAAATAATCTGGGGACCACTGGTCCATAATGAGTGAATGAGAAATTCCAAAAGCTTTCCAGTCTAAGCCTTCTTTAATCAGAATCTCATACTATATTCTTTTATAAACATATACAACTCTAACAATCTAAAGTGAGTCAGTATCTCTGAAGGAACAATCTAATCAATTCAAGAGATTACTTAAAACTGTAGGCTTAGTGACATTAAAATACTTTGTATTTATTATACATACACACACAATATCAAACAAGCCATTTACTAGAAATAATTGGAGTTATTAGTTTTATGTCAACTTACCACTGAAATGCATTGTAATGGAAGTAGACCAAACCAAGACCATATAAAAAGGCAGCATTCTGTAAATAAAAGGAAAAAGAGACTTAGGAAAACCATTTAACTTGGGAGAGATTCTCTGGTTTCTTTTTAATCAAACCTGCCCTGGGGAAAAAAAAAAAAAACCTGTCAGCAGAATTCCATGGGAACATCTAAAATAAAAACCTATCATTCAGGAATAAGAAAATGTTTGGATTATGGTATCCTATTCTCTCTTGCTTGCATCTGTATTCTTTCTCTGGTTCTTTGTTTCTTTAACTACATTTAATTTTATATTCAGTGCTGCCAGGAAGGTAGTTACAATTCAAAGGAAATGCACAATATAAACCTAGAACAAATTTTAGTCTTAAAAACAAAAACCCACACATGCGAAAATGACACCTAGCCATTTACATTTGGGGCTTTAACATCAGTGATTCCTGGGGCACCTGGGTGGCTCAGTCAGTTAAGCATCCAACTCTTGATTTCGGCTCAGGTCACCATCTCAGGGTCCTGAGATCCAGCCCCGCTTAGCGGGGAGTCTGCTTGAGGTTTCTTTCCCTTTCCCTCTGCTTCTCTCCCCACCCCACCGTGCCTGTGCTCTCTCTCTAAAAAATAAATAATCTTTAAAAAAATTTAAAAATAAAAAGTAAATAAACATCAGTGATTCATTTTTTAGTACAAAACAGAAAGATGCTTATCCAGACTCATTCTGACCTCTGGCCTCCAAATAGGAACTAGCTAGCTACTCCCTTTTTTCAAAAAGGGCAAATGTTTGAGTATATATTACATGTTTTGCCAACACATAAGCAAATCTGTTTTGGTAAAGCTTATCTGTTTAAAAAAAATAATAAAGCTTTTCACACTGACTCTTGGGAAGAAATTTCTACAAACCTATATTCTAAAACCTGAAAACTTAAGACTTTTAATAAAATGCTTCTTGCCATACAGTCTTGGGTTGTATTCCCCCAGAAGCACACCCCGAGACAGAAGGTTTTAAATATAAGTAGTTTATCTGGGAAGCTGCCCTAGGAAATACCAATAAGGGAGTGGAGAAGTGAGGCAGGGAAGGGAAGGACACCAATAAAGAGTGCAATATGGCTGGTTATACAACTGGGACTCAATCCTGCTGGGGATCTCTAGTAGACAGTGTGGAACATTCCTAAATCATCTTGCCCTAGGTGTGAGGGACTAGAGTACTTATCCCACAACTGCTATCAGTCACTGGGTAGAGAAAAAAAAAAAAAATCAGTGATGTTTGAAGTGTAAACAAAAGTAAACAGCTGGGTGACTTTTTGGCTTGCAATTATTTTTTTTTTAATACTAAACTTTGTTCTAGGATTATATTGTGCACTTCCTCTGAATTTCAAGTACCCTTCTGGAAACACTGAAAAATGTTTAAGTATATCTTAGAATGTAATAAATATGAAGATTTAATTTCATTAAAACCTCATTACCCCCAGCTTTCCAAATGAGAAAATTACATGCTACGAGAGTATTCATAGATTTGGGGATTCACACAAAGGCCTCAGACAACATCTATTTCAAAAGTTGATTATTTTAAATTTTTTTTTTAATTTGCTTGGAACTGGTTTTAATCAGGATCATTCATTTATCACCCCATCCCCCACCCCCTGAAATAATGTGAGCATTTACTAGGCGTCAGGGACAATACTCAAGGGTTGAGCAAGCCAAACACCCACTTGGATGTATGTATGTATGATAAAAACATACTTCCCTGCTGTCAAGAAGTATGCAACCTAGTCTGTGCAGGTGATGGGGAGTGGGGAGAACAGTGATATTAAGAATGCAGGAGTAGTTAATTCCGAGTCATGCAGTGTTCGACCCAGGAAGTCCAGATCTGAAAGACAACTGTCTTCTCAGGTGAGACTGCAGGGAATGGAGCACGGCTGATTAATATCTGTCACGGACTGAGGTAATTACCCAGAGAAGGTGGGGTGGGGTGTGGTGGAATTTACGGAGGAGCATTTCTGCTTTCAAGAAATACCTGGCATCTCCCAATAGTCCTTACTTTGTTCCTAGCTTATCCTTCCCACTCTAGGAAATCTCACCCTATCCCTGCCACCTTATAAATTCTATCAATTATTCAAGATCCATTTTAAATGGCATCTTCCCCATGAAGCTCTCTTGCTTCTCCTACCTCAACCCAGAAGTAATCTTTCCAACCTCTAAATTTGGCCCCTGCACAATGCCTCTATCCTAAGACATTATTAATAGTAAAAACTTAATTTAATGCAAAATGCTAATATCATTTCTTTTTGAAGGTTCAAACAACTCTATGAGGTGGTGGAGGGCTTCCTTTATAGAATAAAGAAACAAGGATCAGAAAGATTAAACAACTTGCTCAAAAAGACAGGTACTAAGTAGTGGACAAAGGAACTGAATCTAGGCCTGCCTCCAGGGTTCACTCTTAACTACTATATTTTTGTTATTTGTGTACTGACTAAACCCCATCTCACCAGACAAAAATGCCACAAAGGCAGGAATGCTAATCATGTGTGTATCCCGTTATCACCTAGCACAGTGCCTTCTACACAGCAGATGCCCAAAGGTTTAGTAAATTGAATCACCCAGTATTTAAGCTCAGTTATTAAACTCAGCTCCCTAGATGACACAGAATTAGTATGAGGAACGGTTCCTATTAACCAGGAGCTTATATATCTCAGCAAGGAATTAAATCTCATTTTTCCATAACAGTAAACCATGTAATTCAAAGTTTTATTGAGCATCTATTATGAGTCATAGCAGAGTTAATCAGCACTGGGAAGACAGTAGTGAGCAGACAAAAATCCCTATCCTCAACGAATTTACAATTTAATGACAAAAGATTATGAAATTAAGTGCATAATAATATATTCCAACTACAACCATTTAAGAGTTAATGAAGTATAATAAGGACTAGGAAAACAGGTAGTACTTGGGTACTGTTCTCAAGGATAGCTGGGAAAGGAGAAGGAAAAACAAGCCATCTCAGCCAGAGGTTCTAACACCCATCTTTAGAAACAGTGACCTGGAGGTGTGAATGGCTACATGCTCTTAAATAAATGAATTCCTTCCCAATATACAATCTCACCACAAATGCCAATAGCATCCCCACTGAGAAACAAAGGTTTATGCAAAAAGATGACCTGAGCCAAGGCACTGATATGGAAATTAATTTAAATACGATGTAGTCATTCTTCAACCTATACTATGAAGAGTTAAGGGAGTAACTTTCTGGGAAATGTACTATTTAATAAATATACTCCTGCTTCAGTACAAATCTTTAGAGGTTAGAATATCCATACCAGGAGTCAGCAACTATGGCACACGGATGAAATCCAGCCAGGCACCTGTTTTTGTAAGTAAGTTTTACCGGAACATAGCTACACCCACCCATTTACTTATTGTCTATGGCTGCTTCCAGCTCCAAAAGCAGAACTGAATAGTTGCAAAAGAGAGACTATCAGGCTTACAAAAAAGCCTAAAATATTTACTATCTGGCCTTTTACAAAAGAAGTTTGCCAACCTCTGACCTTGACTGTATTACAGTACCCATCACAACCCCAAATTAAGAAATTATAACCTGATGAGACTGCTATTAACTTATACTGAAGGTTCTTATAGTGAGTCTACAGTAAAGTTATTGTCACAGATGTGGTTCATTAAGTTAGCAGTTCACCAATACCAGAGTCCATAGGAGTGTTTTCACTGATCCCCAACATAGCTCTTAAAAGAAACTCCTTGCGGCGCCTGGGTGGCTGAGTCAGTTAAGTGCCTGCCTTCGGCTCAGGTCATGATCTCAAGATCCTGGGATCAAGCCCCGTGTCGGGCTCTCTGCTCAGCAGGAATCTGCTTCTCCCTCTACCCCTCCCATCCTGCTCATTCGCTTGCTCTCTCATAAATAAATAAAATCTTTCAAAAATGAACGAAGTTGGAATGCTGGCAACCCTTTAATTAGAGCAGAGCTGGCAGGTACTGAAAATAGCTGAGAGCTGTGACTGTACAAGATTGGGGATGTGCCTTTCTAAGGAAAAGGATTAGGATGCAGGTACTCATGTTTAATTTTCTTAAAATCGAGACTACAGCACTCCTGCTAGTAGTGCAGCAGCCAAGCTGAGAGCTTTTCTCTTTCCTAAAAAGGTTGTAATTATATTCCCATTATTTAGAAAAAAATTTAAGTGAAACATTAAGACTTTCAGGTCATACAGACATAATTATAATTCCCTTATTAGCCAATTAACATGAGTAATTTGTATTACTAGTACAGTCTATTTTGCAACAACATGTACCTTCCCTTACTGTTTTCTATCGCCTTAGGATCAGACAAAATACATTTCTCAGCCTCCCTTGCAGCTAGGAATGCTCAAATTACTACATTCTCACCAGTGAGGTATGTATGATCTCATGATTCCCTTAAAGGAAAGCGTTGTTGCCCTGTTTCCTCCTTCCCTGACCAGTTCCTTAGAATGCAGAACCAGTGCCAAGGCATAAGAAAAAGACAACTCAAGAAAGGAAAAACAGAGACCAATTCCAATTATGAACAAAAATGCAAAGATACTGGGGCACCTGGGTGCCTCAGTCGGTTGAGCTTCCAGCTCTTGGTTTTGGCTCAGGTCATGATCTCAGGGCTCAACAGCAAGTCTGCTTGGGATTCTCTCCCTCTGCCACTCCCCCCACTTGCACTTGCTCTCTCTCAAATAAATAATTTAAAAAAAAATGTAAAGATATTACATATTAGTGACCCCAATCACCTAACAATGACAAAAACTTATTACCAATTTGAACTTACCTCAGAAATACAAGATTGGTTTAAACAGAAAAAATATAAAACTATCTCAGTGGCTGCAGAATAAGCATTTGCACACAGAAGAAAAATGCTGACATTTAAAGTGGTATTTTTAACAGTTGGCTTTTGGTAAAGAAGTTCCTTTCTCTTCTTAGTTTGTTATTTACAAAAAAAAAAAGTAACCTTAAGTAATCATACTTAATGGTAAAACATTTAAAACATTCCCTTTAAGAAAGGAAACAACAAATGTACTCT